GGATAATGAGTTGGCTATCATTAATGATGACCAACTCATTATCCAATAGGAGGGGGACATCTCGCTTGTCCCTCCTATTGGTCCCATATTATGGGTCCCTGTAGCAAAGCTCACCACTTATTGTTCCTTAAGTTTGATATTGACAGATAGACCATGAATTACAAGTGATACAACGCGATACTACCGGGGGGCCTATGTGCAATTAACCTATTTAAAAATCACGCCCTTTCTTCTTCTTTTTTTTCTATATAAGGAAGGACAAATTCCCACCCCCTCTTTCTTCCTTGCTCCCCAACGCTCCATCATTTCATCTTCACTTTCCTCTCCTTTTTTTTTAAACCTTTCGTTAAAAAAAAGGAAAAATTTTCAATTGAAGAGAAGAAGCAAGCTCTGAGATCACCACACCCATGGATGACCATCACCACACCCATGGCCATGCCCATTCCTCATCATGGCCATGTTTCTGGGAAGTCGGATCCCAGGTGAGTTTCACTGACTTCTCCCTAAATAAAGATCCCACCTTTTTTTCTCAAATTAAAAAGAAAATTTTAAATAAAATCCCAATTGAATTTTTTACCTGATGAAATTTGACACGGCAGCAAGATGAAGACTTGAAGCAGGCCCTAATTCGGACAACCCTCGAGCTCGAGTCCACCCGTTTAACGGCCCAGGAGGAGCTCACAAAGCTCGCAGCGCCCAAATCCCTCCACCTGCCGCCCACTCTCCTAGTGTCGCCACCCGAGCAGCGCGACGGAGTCCCGCCGCTCCTCCACCTCCTCCTCCCTCCCAAAACCCTAAACCCTAACCCCGAGGCAGCGCAGCCACCGCGCGGCCTCCGCCGCCCCCCTCGCCGCCGTTCGGAGTGAGGAGACCGAGAGCAGCCAACGTGTCGCTCCCCGGCGGCGCGAGGAGCCCGGCGCCGCTGCCCGGCAGGCAGCGGGAGCGCTGCGTGGAGGCGCGTGAATGAGGGCGCTGGCCGCCTGCCTGCCTGGCAGACGCTGATGCTGCGGCGGCCGCTGCCGAGCGGTGGCAGCACCACGCCGCCGCGATTGAAGAGCTTCGAGATCCCGCCGGTGCGAGATCGGCGAGGCGAGCCCCGGCGAGGAGGGGAAGAATGAGGGGGAGAGGAGGACACGTCTTGTCGCCCGGAGAGCGATTGTCCGCCCGCCAAGCCGCGCGGGAGCTATTCAGTTTGCGTCCTCGTACTTTTCCTGCGCGTTGAAGCTCTCTGGTTAGTTTCAGTTGTTAAGTAATTGTAATTTTGTAATCTCCGTAATGTAATGTAATTGCATTTATTATTGTATTGTTGTTATTATTATTGTTTTCTAATCTAGTAGCATATTCCCCGATAATAAAATTACAATCTTTATTACGATGAAATTACATAAAAATTCCCGATAATAAAATTACAATCTTTATTACAATAGAATTACATAAAAAATTCCCGATAATAAGAGGCTGTTTGGTTGCACACTTTTTAAAAAAAACTTTTCTCAAAACATCTGATAATGACAAATTTGTAATTAAAAATTTTCTAGAGATTTCTATAAATTGTGTTTGGTTCAACAAAAAATTTACAGAAATATTTTCTATAAAATATCAAAACCTACCAAATTTTACAAAAAGCAATTTCCTCTCAAAATGAGAGGAAATCACCAGAAATCTGACACATACCATATTTAATTAAAAACCTACCAAATCTTGTTATTTTCTATAAAGTTATGAGTTATTTTCTATAAAGTTATGAGTTATTTTCTTGTTTTGAACCATACCATATTTAATTCAAAACTTTTCCTATAATTTTTTTAAGAAATACAAGGAAATCATATTTTAGATGGAAAACATTTCCTATAATTTCTAGAAATTGAACCAAACACCCCCTAAAATTACCATCTTTTTTTTTGAACCTCGAAGCTGGCTTATTGTGGGGCGAATTTTTTGATTTTCACCCCCACAACTATTTTTTTATGGGATCGGATCCTGAGCCTAAAAAACAACTATACTCTTCAATTCACTACCAATATTAATGCTCAAAATTGCGAGCAAAAAAATTTCTTTTCGTAGTTGCTCCTTCTCATTTACCTCCACTGTGGTTGAGACTTGAGATGCTTTGTATGTATCGTTAACAAATCTTTTAGGCCCCGTTTGGCAAAGGGATAAGGAAGAGGCGTTAAAAAGAAAAATTAATCTACTTAGCTCATTTAATAATCTTTCTGAACTAAATTTTTATCTGTTA